CGTGTCCATTTTCAGCAGCACGCACGGGAGCTGCGTGAGCATCCTCCTCTGCCCCCAGCTCTCACCAGAAAGAGCTGAAGGGACACGAGGGCTGCACGTTTCAATACAACACATTTGTCACCAGCAAGGGCAACCTTGATTCCAATGGGTGCCAGTGCTGGGCTGTCCCCCTGAGAGCTCAGGAGGAGCCTGTGATGCCCTTACTAGCTGTAAGGAGCAAAGCTTGCTCTGCCTGCGTTAAAACCCAGTCCAGTTCTGAGCACAGATTTCCCCTGAATCTCAGGTGCGGCGCTTGGCAGCTGCTGAGATCAGAAACCTGGTGGTTTGCACTCGGTTTGTTATTTTCCGTGGGCGTTCCCTATGTGCCCCTGCTACCTCTCTGGGAAGTACGCTGAAAGTGTGGCTGCAAGAGCTCTCTAAGACTCGATGTGGACTTTTAGCAAGCGGGCATTCTTTACCGCAGCGCTGGCTGCAAGGGGCCACCCTGCACATCCCCGCTGCTGAGTGTTGTGGGGGCGACCACGACGTGGCCCCTGCTCAGTCCTGAGGAGCAGGGCGGGCTTTGGCCGCCCCACCAGCCCTCTCCCTCTCCGGCGAGGTGAGGCCGTGCAGACAGCCCTGCCCTCCTCAGCTGGGCTGCAGGGTCCGCACGGCAGGGCCGTGGCACGGGAGATGCCCCGGGGAACCGTGTTCTTGTGTGGTCCCTGGCATCGTCCGTGCCATGGTGCCTGCCCGGCAGGACACAGCAGGGCTCTGGAAGCTGCAGGCACAGAGGCGAGGGTGGGCTAAGGACAGGGGTGGCCCAGGGAGGCTGGCTGTCAGGGGCACGGGTGGCACAGGGCTGTCAGTAGAAGGCGGCTGGAACGGCGGGGCCGGTGGAACAGGGCCACGAGCCGTAGAACGCGGCGACTGTCGAGGTCCCTGGGCGCGGCTCCCGCAGCGCGTGCCGGGCCGGTGGCCGTTGCAGAGGAGACCGAGAGCGATGGCGCTGCCGGGCCGGTGGCGCTGCCCTCGGCGCTGGCCGTCGGCGCTGCCAGTGGCGCTGTTGGTGGCGGTCACCAGCCTGCTGCAGGGATCGCTGCTGGGAGCGGCGCTGGGCTTGGGGGGTGCCTGGTGGGCGCTGCGGTCCCGCCCGCCCGCCAGGCGCCTTCTGCCCCTGCGCTCTCCCCCACGGTGGCTGCCACCCACGCCCTGTCCCCTACGGTTGCAGCCCCCCAGGCCCCGTCCACCACTGCGGCTGCCCCCGTACAGGCCCAGAGCCAGCCTGATCGCCCGCTTTCCAACCGCCTGGGACGTGATGGCTTGGCGCCTGCGGAGGAAAATGGCCAGTACCAGCGGGCCGGCCACTGTGATCGGCCGAGGCGTGAGCACCGCGACCCGCGGCAACTGCCTTGGGTGAGCGAGGGAGTAGGATGTGCGTGGGATAAGGACACGGGTGGCCCAGGGAAACAGGCGGGATGAGGACACGGGTGGCAGTAGGACACTCCTTGTCAGGGGCACAGGGACCCTGGGTGGCAGGGATGAAGGTGGCAGGGGGACGCGGGTGGGATACAGAGACAGGTGGCACAGGGACATAGGTTGTGAGGGCTGCAGGTGGCACAGGGCACGGGTGAGATGAGGACACGGGTGGCCTAGCGATGGCCGTAGTGCTGCCCTTGGCGCTGCCCTGCGTGGTGCTGCAGGGATCGCTGCTGGGAGCAGGGGGTCCTGGTGTGCAATGCGACCCTACCAGCCCGCATCGCTCCTGTCTTCGTGTGGCCCGCACGGCAAAACGGCCTCTACAGTGGCCCAACGGCAGACACCATCCGTGCTGAGAGACCCCGTCCCGCTGCTGCTGCTTCTGGTGAGCTTGGGAGGAGGATGGGATCGGATCTTCCTGCCACTAACAGCGCTGTGACCATTGTGCCCCAGCAGAGCTCCACCGCAGACCGTGCGCCACCGGCACCCGCTCCCGCAGGACCAGAGCCCTGAGGCCATTTTCGCCCGGGTACGCCGGGACAGTCAGGTGCCCAGGGGCTCCCCATGGGCCCAACGCCCAGCAGCGCTCCGCAGCCCACGGCCCAGCGCTCTTTTCCTGTCCCCACTTTGCCCTGGCCGGTCTGCAGGGGGGACGCATCCAGGGGAAAGGAAAGGGCAAAATCCCTTTGCTGTGCTGGCACCTTGCAGCTGGAGGCAGCAGCCCGTGTGGGAGCCCTGCGTTCCCACTTTGACACGGGTCTCCTCAGCACCTGCTGAGCTGTACTAAAACACTGCTCACATCCTGGGCTGGGCTTGCAGATGTGAGAGTGGGATGTAGTCGTGGCTAATGGAGCTCTGCAGCTGTGCAGGGAAAGGTTTTACCCAGGGTGGGTCAGTAGGGAAGGGTTTGCTCTGAGGTCACTTGCCTCAGAGCCCGGAGGCCGCTTGCTCCCAGAGTGAATTCAGTTTGGGGTGCTCAGACTTTGCCCTCCATGGACATTGCGGAGGGCTGTTGAGCAGCGTTGAAGTAAGAGAGGTTCCGGGCTCGGCAGCCAGCACCAGGGAGATGGGATTTACTCTGTGGTGAGCAGGAGAAAGGGAGGCTGTGCTCCCCTGAACCAAATGAGTTACTCCTGGTCTCTTTGCACATTCCAATAGAAGAGGATGTGCGTGAGGGAGACCCTGGAGTCCGGCGCTGGATCCTACCGGGAGGTGCCACATCGGACAGGAAGGTAACGTAGCGCTCAGCCAGCCAGTGCCTGCTTGTCAATGCCAGCCAGGAAGAAAGCAGTCACCTTCCCAGCTGAGCCGGTGCCCAAGGCCTGCTCTCCACCAGAGCTGGGCTATTCCAGGCCCGTGAGACATGGCTGCTGGGTCACCCAGCGGTGGGGAAGCCCCTTTGTTGTGTCCATCAGCATCCCCGCTGCCTCGTTCCACTGCCGTGCTGGCGGCAGCGCTGAGCGGCACCATCCCCGCCCTGCCCCAGGCCGGGTTGGAGCTTGAAGGGCTCAGACGGCTGCAGCGGTGACGTTGCCGTGTGGCACTGGCATGTCCTGTCCCAGCCTGGCGCTGACCCTAACTGGCTCTCTCCCACTCGCACAGGGAACGGGAATCGCGGCGACGGGAAGAGAGCACCCCGGGGACAGCGAACAAGGCCGTGCAGACCGAGGAAGGTGAGTGTAGGTGGGGCCCAGCTCTGTGCCGGGCTTGGATGGGCCACCGGTGCGGGCCTGCTCCGATGCCAGGCGGAGCTCATGCCAACACTTCTTCAGCTGAAAGAGAGAGGAAACCCCGTGTGCCCATTGCGGAGAGGGCCCCGTGGCACAGCGCGAGATGTGGCCACGTGCGGCACCTTGTGTGGTTTGCGGTTCGGGAGGGCAGCGTGCAAGGAGCGTCCGTGGTGGTGGGAAGGGGCCGCTGGCCCGTGGAGCCCCAGCAGGCTCTTGTGAGAGCTTCCCCACGGATCTCTTGTGGCCAAGCTGCTGCCCCGGGGCATCGCAGCCCTGTGCTCAGCTTAAGGCCGTGTCCCTGGCTCTGCCCTCCGGGATGGGCATCCAGAGAGCAGTGAGAAGGGACAACCCCCTTGGTGCAGGCCGAACGCCTCTGCTGGGAGCTGCTCCTGACTTGTCTCCTCCTGTAGCTGTCGAGAGGCCTCAGGAAGAGCGGCAGCAGTCCCCGAGCCCACCACCTTCGCTGGGGAAAGGAAGGCCACGCAGGAGGAGCATCTGCCTGCTGGTGCCTGGCGAGATCCACCCACTGGTGCTGGTAGGTCGCTGTCTCGCAGCCTCTTTTGCCCTCCCGTGGGCTAGAATGTGCTCAGTGCAGTTCCTGCAGGGCGGGGGGCAGGCTGACGTGCCTGCCTTGGGGCAGGAGGTCTCGGCCTTGGCTGGGTGGGAAGTGAGGCTCTCCCCTGCCCCAGTGTGTGGTGACCGTGCGTGACTGCTGCCGCTGCTGGAGCAGGTACTGGCCTGGGCAAGGTTGCCGTGGCCTCAGCCCCAAGCCGATGCCAAAACGAATGGGGTCCAGAGCTCTGCGCTGGCTGTGGCAGAACCACGGCTTCATGGCTCTGGCGCAGGCCTGCTTCCACACCTCCTTCAGAGCGGCTCTGCCGGCTGCCCTGAGAAGGAACTAAGCTACTGCTCTCTCTTGGCAGTTCCCTGAGCTCAACCCACAATACTCCGGCACCGAGATGACCCTGGAGGAGGAGGGGGAGGCAGCGTGGCAGCTCTCTCGATGGCTCTTGGGACTTAAGGCTGGTAAGGGCAGACTGGGAACGCGAAGGGCGCGGCAAGGGGGAGAAAGCCATGGCCTGGGCTGGCAGGGCAGCGGGAAGCTGCTGGGCCAGTGCCGCCTGGTCCTCGGCTCTGATGCTCTTAGAGACTCGTGAAGAGCCCGGAGGGAGACCTCGTGTCCTGCAGTCCCCAGGGTGATGGGCGAGGTTGCCCAGGGCCGGAGCTGCGAGCTGTTCATACTGGGAGGGTTTCATAAGGGGTAGTCCCATGCGGCAGAGCCCTGCCGTGCAAAGGGAAGGTGCTTCCATCACTCGCTGCCCCAGTCCCCAGCCCTGGGGGGTGGAGGGGAATCTGAAATGCCGCTCCTTGCCCTCTCTGGATGCACTGGATGCGTCGGCTCCTGCGGGTGCTGCAAGCTCCCTAAAGCCAGGCTCTTCCTGCTCTGCCGACCCCGGCTCACAGCGGTGTGTTGCTTTCCAGGGACTCCTGCGCCCTTCTCCGGCCAGCGCTCCTCAGGCCTCGGACGAGACGCCGCTTCCTCTGGTAAGGACGGAGTTGGTGCTTCAGGCTTGAGGAGCTGATGGGTCGTGTTGTTCCCTTGGGCTGGGGGATGGCGGAAGGGTCAGGCTGTGCCCTAGGAGCCAGCCCGGGTGGTAGCTACTGGGCTCCAGGGATGCAAAACCTTCCATTCCCCCAGGGATAGGGATGGTGGTAGGCCCGGTGCCAGCCCAGAGTGCGGCTGCGGAGACCTGAGCAACATTTGTGCTTCTCTAGGTTCGTCCACCCGCGCAAGACGGAAGGACAGAGCCCGCAAGCAGCACAAGGCATGGATCCATCGTTTCTGCAATAAGTAACGGGCAGTGCCGCTGGCCCCCAGCCGTGGGGCTCCGGTCCAGAGCAGCCCTGAGGCGGCCCCAGAGTGACAGGGCCAGGCCCCGTTTCTGCTGCTAGCAAGAAGCCGTGCTGGGTGGCAGCGCCTGGGGTGGGACAGGGGAGCCCTTCCTGCTGGAAGAGTGCCCCAGCCAGGGCTCATGAGCCTCTGGGCATCTGTGCAGCATTTCCATCCTGGCTCTATTTTGCCACGTTCCCTAAGGTGTAACCTTTTGCTCCAGCCCTGGCAGTCTCTCCCCTCCCTTCTTAGGCCCTTTCCCATGTTGGGGTGCTCTGGAGCCACTGAGGGAGTCCAGAGCGGACTGGGCTCCGCCCCCTCCCCAAATCCCAGTTGTTTTTCATTTGTGGCTCATCCCCACCCGTTTGGGATTTACCAGCTCCCAGGAGCTGCGGTGCTGTCTCCCCTGGTGCCGTTCAGCGGGAGCGGGGCAGAGGCTGCTGGAGCCAGGGGTCCCCTGAGAGCTGCTCTCCCCTGCCCCGGGGGTCCTCACCACCCCCAGGACGGCTTCGCTGCTGGGTCTTATACTCGCTGAGCCTTGTAATTGTGTGTGTTGGGTGCAGTCGAAATTACCCAAAACCCCACAAATACTGAAACGTTCTTTAATGAAATCACACTTTGTTTTTATACTGGAGCTGTTACAGCACCTCCTCTGCCTTCTAAACTGCAATGTACACGGCTGTGACTAAACCTGTTCTCTTTGGGTTTTTTTCTTCCCGAAGGAGGAGGACCACAGAGATGCCGAGTGGCCTTTGGGGCCACCAGCGGCAAAACAGCGCCATCACTGATCATTTTTGAAGACTGTTCTTGTTCTATGTTTGTTCTACAGTTGTTCTAATATTCTTGTTTAATATACTGTTCTTGTTTTGTTCTTATACTCTAGTTGTTTTGGTTTTTTATCGTGGCTTTGTGTTGTTATACTGTTGTTCTGTTGTTGTAAGAATAGTAAACTAGTATTTTTACCATAATTTTACTATCATTTTCGCATTTTTTTACTGTCAATATATAATTTCCACCCCTCCTACTACATCCCCCACCCCCTGTCTTTAGGTCCCCCACTTAAAATAAACAGACTATGTTCACATCTGCCTTCCCTGTGTTTGATTTCTGGGCCAGGGCACAGGTGCCGCTTTCCAGCACCCTCTGCTTGAGCCATCACTAAGTGTCCCCTCTGCCTGAAGATGCTCCCCATGGTGCTGCGGTACCCAGTCTGCAGCAGGTCAAGGACAGAGAAGTGCCTTGGCAACGGCAACCAGAGGAGTCCTTACGCCTTGAGCAGAGGTGGATGGGCTGAACAAAGCACCTATGGTGCTCGCCAAGCAAAGGGATGGCAGCGGCATCCTCTGTATGGCTGGGAGAGGGCAGGTGGGGAAGCTGGCTGGGGGCAAGGTACAAGCAGGATGGGGCAGCCGCAGGCTGCACATGCCAGAGCTCCTGCCCTTGCATGGCCTTTTCCTTTCAGTCACCTGAAATAGTTCAGGGGATGGTTCCCCTGATGGTGCACCTGGGCTGTCCCCATGGCGATGGCTGTGTCCCCCTTCTTCTCCCATCCCTGCCATCATTAGGTGTGTGCTTGTGGCTTCTGCAGTCTATTGGCTCATTTTGCCAAGTCAGGTGATGCCACCTTGGGCCGGCACTGCCACCCCTGCTTTCACCTGCTCCTTTGGTCCCCAGATAAATCTGGGCTGGGGATGTCCACTCTGGCCAATAGCCTCTTCCTGACAGACATGCGCAGAGGCCGCAAGCTGCTGAACGCTGAAGGTGAGGAGGGGAACAGTGCCAGGGATGGGGTATCCTGGCTGTGCGGGATTTGGCAGAGTCCCGTGCTGCTCCTGAAGGGGCAGGAGGAGCCCCCTTCCCAGCGGGCTCCTCCAGGTCTCCGATGTTGCCTGCAGCATGCTGCCAGCTGCCCACAGGTGCTGGGGATGGCTCCACAGCAGCAGGGACCCCCCCCCCCCGCCTGGCACAGGCACACTCACAGGGGCTTTGGCCTCACTGGGGAGACAAGAGCCAGCTGCTGGGACTCACAGAGAAGGCAGCTCCCCCCAGGAGCACAGGAAAATGAAGTGCTGTGGAGCATCTTCAAGGTGCAAGTGACTGGTATCATTTTCAATGGGGAAACCCCAACAATTTATCATCGGCACATGGGAGAGCTCACCTGTAGCACAAGGAATTGCTCATCTCAGGAGAGACAGGCATTTCACACCGGCACCACGTCACTGGCCTCGTCCGTGTCACCCCTGGCAGAAGCAGAATCACCTCCAGGCACCTCCCTGCCCAGGAGAAGCTGAACTTTGCCGTCTTGACCCAGAATGGAGGCAGAGGGGACCCGGGAGAGCCCCGCTTCCCCTGTGTGGAGCCGCTGGGGTGATGGGCAAGGGTGGGGATTGGGAGCACTACCAGGGCGCTCCATCCACACTCCTTCCCCATCCCGGCAGCAGCAGATCCCGGTTTCCCAGGGTACTACCAGAGAGGAGCCCCTGCCCCAACCTCCCTCCCAGCGCAGCTTCAAGCCCTTTTCCAGGCTCAGCCCGTGCCGCTGGACGCGGCCCTCGGTCGCGCTGCAGCAGCTCTCCCCGTGCCTTGCGGCTGAGCACGGCTGCCTCTGCTTGGAAACCGACGGCCGGGGCGGAGAGAACCGCGAGTTCCTCCGCCGAGTGATCCTGGCATCCTCTGCCCGCTCCTCAGCTTTGGCTCCGGTCAGGAGGCACTGAACGAAGCAGATAATTGCCTGGCAGTGATTGATGGGGAGTCAGGGGTGAGCGGAGAGCTGGGAGGGGGATGAGCTCAGGGATTGTGTTTCAGAGGGAGGTGGTTTTTTAGGGTTTGACCATGTGGGCAGTCGGGAGCTTTTCTGAATCGCATTGGCTGAGCTCGAGCAGGATCACTTGCTCAAGGGCAGCTCTGATATGCAAGCTACTGCTTTACTGAGGCATTTCTTCTACAGTGGCCCCTGAGATCAGAGGGAAGGTCATCAACGGTGAGATGAGTGGCTGATTGAATAAGGACAGAGCAGTGGAGATTATTCAACTTGGCTTTCAGTGCTGCCTCCCATGACATCCCCCTGGACTAATCGATGAAGAAGACTGAAAGAGGTTGAGCAATGCAAACCTGAAAGACTTACGTGTCGTGGATTACGTTCTGGAATACTCCCAGGCACCTTGAATCACCACTGGAAAAAATTCATTTGCATCAAGGCAGGATGTGCAGCACAAGAAGCTTGTGGATTCTGATACAGCAAAAACATATGCAAGGAGCATAAAGAGAAATGTCATTGGTATTCTTTGCTGGTATAGAAACCCAGCTTACCAGCCTCTACTGAGCAGCATTAACCTGAATACATATTCTGAATTCCCACAAGAAGCCAGGCAATTAGAAAATAACATTTGAATTCAAATCTGAGCTTCTGAAAGCCAGAGAGTCCTCAGTGTGCAGGAAACTGTACCCGTGTTCAAACCCATCTTTCATCCTGAGGCCACACGCACCCTGGGGCAAGGATTTGGCATATTATCCATGAGAGAGTGTTAACAGACACAAGCAGCTTTTTAAACATATCCAGGGTGCCTTGGTTTCAGGTTTTGAACCAGCAGATGTGTCTGATCAGCCTTCCCAAAGCTCCTTTCCTCCCACCACTGCTGTTGGAAAGCAGCCCCTCATTCCCAATTGCTTTCTCTCATATTTTACTTACCTAAAACACCAAATGAAATTGAGCATGTTTAAACAGACAGAGGTTTGTCACACAAAATGTGAAAGTCTGCAAAAGCTTCACAGTGGGAAGAATATAATTTGGATAATTGAAATTGGGAAAAGGATCTGACATGCTTTATAAAAGAAGTATTAAAAGGGATAGTTTGGCAGAAGGGAGACAGTTTACAGTTACTAGTAACAACTGATATATTAGAGTGTAGGGAGTATTTCAGTCTTTCAGAGCAAGCCCTGCTGAAGGGCACAGAGATGGGCAAGCCTGGGCTGGTGACAGCACCAAGGTAAGACCTGGAGCACCAAGCAAGAGGCAAGCACACAGACTGAGAAGGCTCCTCAGTGCCTGAATGGAGGAGCTGTCCTCTTCATCCCAGGAAGTGAGTCCAGGGTGCTACTAGTTCCACATTCTGTGTCCAAGAATGGTTTTCATAGTCTGCAGCTCTTCAGCCTGGCAGGACTAGGATGGGAGGGAATGCAAACTACAGCACACAGCTCATCACCAAGCCTGGAGGTCACAGCCTTCCTCAGCAGGATGGGTGGGGGGCTCTTCCTTTCCAGCTGCCTGCCCGTCCTGACCCAGATGTGGAATTCATGCAGTTCAGCCGGGGCAGGTGCAGCTGCCACAAGCAGATGCAGTGTCCTGCAGCAGCAATGCTGGCTTCGATGACTCTGACCTTGAGGGTTTGTTGCACCCTGCTGACAGCCCCAGCCAGCCATCTGCTGGGCAACTGTTTCATAACCAGCCCAGAGCAGCCAGGATGGTGATGCTCTTTTTACCCGCTTCCTAGGGGTTGAGGAGGAGCTCAACAGGGCAGCTGCAATGGGCAGTTTAAGCATCAGTGTCTGGAATTTTAAGACAGATGCACATCCCTCCCAGTAAACATCAGTATTTCTGGAGCACGTGGGTAAGACATAAGGGGGGGGGAATCTTTCGACCACTTCTTAAAGCTGAAAGCTGCTTCTAGTCATCACAGCCCCAGCACAGGAGTGAGAAAGGTGGCCAGAACAGCTAGGGAACCAGAGTACAGGAGGGCATCTGAGGGTGAGGCAGCACAGAGCCATAAACGCAGACCTGGTCCTCTTGAAACTAGTTTGGATTTAGCCACAGTAAACCTAGAATTGTGTTTAAAACCATTTGAGAGGCTAGTGTCCTTTATGCACCACTTCTCTGAACCAGGATTAACTCGGCAAGAATGGGGCGGCAGCTCCCAAGTGACTGGGATTCTCCCGCAACAGGAGCTACCCTACTCTGTAAAACACAAGACAGACTCTGGGAAAGGCAAGTTCCCATCTGGTCCTTCCCAAGGACTGGGAAGGAAAGTGGGATTCAGGGTTTCTGCAGCAGCACTGGGTGGGTGGAAAGCTCTCAGGGCTGACTGTGCCTGTGGAAAGCCAAAGGCGCAGACTGTGTCTTTATGGTACAGGCCTACAGACTGCACCAGACCACGGACAAACTCTCAGCATCCTTTCCTGTGGGCCATCAAGACAGATGCTTTCATGTACAGCCCCCCTGTATCTGTGCCTAGGCTTCTCCCTGGAAAAATATAAACCACTTCTCACAGGCAAGATATTATTTTGGTGTTAAAAAGTCACATCTCCAACACACCTCCTAACAGGACTTGCATGACAAATGTGAAGAGCAGAACATTCATTTCCACAGCTCATGTCAAAAATCCAGCAGCTCAGAGGCAAGGGGTTAACAGCTACAGGCAGCACAACACAACATACTTCACAATCACATCTCAGAGTTAAGAACTGGAAAACGTTTGCAAAACTAACCATGCAAGAAGCAAACAAACAGCAGCACACATTCCAGCCAAGCAATAGTTAGCTTTATTGAGTTTCATAAACACTGCATCAAAACCAAGAGAAATTAGAATTCCTTTTTGCTTCTTAACATTAGTCATTTCTCAATGAAAATGTGATTATGTTTAATGATACTAAGAGAAAACAAGGAACAGGAGCAAGAATAGAGTTAGACAAGATGCAGAGCCAGCGTCCCCTTCATGTACTCCCCCTGGTGTCAGAGCAGCGGAGCTCTGGGAAGTGCTGTTAAATTTTGTCAGGTCAGTGTCAGGGATTGAATCCCAGGACGCAGCAGCTGATGAATCAAATATAGCATGGGTTGCTAGGAACTGTGCTGTACTTTTGAAGTCACATTTGGATATCTTCAGTGGAACAGAAAGGGATTTATGAGAAAAGTTCAGGTTAATCAAACACGTTTCCCGTCTGGCTGCCTCAGTAAAGCTTAGTACAAACGTTAAGCGTAATTTGTTTTCCCTACTAGTTCCACAGAAAAGATCAGCATGCAAGATCTGATACAGCATCTGTAACACCTCCTGCCCTCTGAAACATAGCTCTGGCCTCCCCGGCTTAGTTCTGTGCTTGCTTCATTACATGCATATAAGATGAAAACATAGGAACAGCCACAACTAAAACTACAGGAGACAAGAATGCTCTGACACTGTTCGTAGAATGCTTGTGTGTGCAGCTGCTAACATACACCCCCAGTTAACTGTTTTGAGGAAGCTTTTCAGCATTAACAGCTACATGTTTCTTCAGTAAATAAAGAATTACATTTTAAAAAGTCCTCCACGAGGAAGGACTTAAGGTAGCGTGTGTAATTGTGTAATACTGATAGCTGTCTGTTAGCAGCAGTACTGCTGTGGTACATTGGCTCAGAAGACAGGTGAATCACCTCTAAGTCCTCATTAACTCTGTTTCAGAGCTATGGCTTATGTTTCTAAATGGCACATAGCACCATCTAAAGAATGTGAGGAAGGCAAAAAGGTATTAGGCAAGCAATCATTCCTGAAACTTCAAGTGATCATTCATTTATTCCAGTCTTGCACTCCCCTCCACTCGCATTTCCAGAGACTTCCTAGTCTTCATAGACCTGATGCAACCCAGTTAAGAAACTTCATAGCAACTTCAAACCCAAGGAAACATGCCTGGAAAAGAGAGAACACACAGAACATGTTAAGTATTCTAAAAACCTGATCCAAACTGTTTTTCAAATGCAGCACTATGCACACCTGATGGGGCTGATGTGGGAGGAGGAAGAGAAGAAAAAAAGGTCTTGGACCAGAGGCAAGAATTCTACTATATCTCTCCACAAAAAAGCACAACTTCTTCTCTGTTCAGTTCATTATTTACTGAAGGGGAAGCTGGTCTAAATTTAACCATGGATTTCTGTCTTCTACTGGATGTAGGATCAGTAGAGAAAGACTATCAGAGAAAGTCAACAAAAAGCTTTCACACAAAGCTTTGAAGAAAGGTTTATTTGGTGCTCCTCCTAGACTAAGGCACATTTTTAGAACTGAGATACCAACAGCTGAAAGCACCTGCAGAGACAAGAATCTCACCAAAATGGTACAACACTGATCAGCCAGTTCTCTCCTCTGCAGACTGCAAACATTCCCTGTGTGTGGCCATCCCCAAACCCCAGCTGGGATCACAATTTATTTACTGCATTAGCAGGAACTGTCCTTATCATTACAGCTGTGAAGCCCTTATACAGAGATGCCACTCCTTCCTCTCTGATAAGTTCTCTCAGCACTTAAAGCCATTTGGGTATTTTCTTGGAGGAGCTGATAGGGATGCAAAACACATTAATAGCTGTGTGGTAGTCACAAGCATAAATTTAACAGCCCAGGATTTTCAACAGGTTCATACCTGTCACACCATCTAGGTGACACCAGAATCCAAGCACTGCTTAAGCTATGTTGTGACAACATCTGCTCAGAAAAATGATCTCTCTCAGTCAGAAGCAAGCAAACAAAAAAAAAAAAAAACACATCTTACTAAAGGCTCAGTAAACAGAAGGTAAGTGCTCACCATCACCACAAAGAATCTACATCATCAAGTCCACCAAACCACCTAAAAAGCTAGGAACATACTTGGGTTCTTCACATAATTTGTCTCAAGCTCAAGACACGCTCCTTCCCAGATGCATGCTCAGATGGCATCTTCCATTGCTGCTGTGGTGGTTTAAACCCAGTCAGACAGCTTGTTCACTCTCTTCCTCCCCTTCTTGCCCTCCCCCTACTCCCGGAGGCACAGAGCGGAGAATCGAAAAGAATTCAACTCCCGTGGGTTGAGATAAGCACAGTTTAGTAACTAAGGTATAACACAAATCACTACTGCTGCCACCAATGATAATAATGATAAAGGAAATAACAAGGGAAGAGAATACATCACCTCACCACCAGCCACCCAATAACTCGCCCCCCCCCAGCCTGACCAAGCACTGACCAATACCTCCTCCAACCCTGCAGTCCCAGCCCTTCCGGGTAACTCCCAGTTACATCCTGGGCATGACGTGCTGTGGTATGGATTACCTCTTTGGTCAGTTTGGGTCAGGTGTCCTGTCTCGGCTTCCTCCTGGCTTTCCCTCCTCCCTGGCAGAGCATGAGGCTCACAAATCCTTGGCCAAAGCAAAACATCATTGTTATCAGCTCTGTTCCCAGGCTGAAAGTCAAAACACAGCACTGCACCAGCTACCAAGAAGGAGAAAAAAGACTGCTACTGCTGAACCCAGGACAGTTGCCCATCCCATTCCCAAAGCACCACACTGAGTGTGGTTGTGACAAGCTGACATAAAACTCACCAGTCTGGAAACAGGATTTCAGCATGTCTGTGGGATGACAACTACCCAGTTGAAGATCCCAGACAGGCCCCCAGCAAAGAGGATCCTTGCTGCACTGAGGTCATTCACACTGTGGTGGGATTGGGGTGGGAGGAAAAAAGAAAACAAAATTAGAGAAAGTTAAAAAAAGAAGCAAATTCTCATCCGTTTTCACTAAGGTGACAAAGAGGCAGCCCAGCTGAGAGCCAGAAGGCAGCACAATGCTGCAGACACACACAGAGCACTGAGTCTAAGCAAGATTTCCAAGAATTAGAGCTCTGTGAGCAAATGTACTCACTCCAGGTTCATTCAGCAGCACACAACAGCTGCTCTGTGAAAAAAACTAAACAAAAGACCCAACAACAAAAATCCCCAGCTCTGTGCATACAAAAGGGTGAAAACAAAGATACTTGAGGTATTGCTTACTTGGCTAATAAGATCCAAGGCTCAAATCTGAGAGAACCTCAAATACACTTTTGATTGTCAGTTAACCCCAGCCCAAACGAGCTCAACTCACAAGATGAGCAACCATTTTATTTAATTTGTTTTGATGACACTGCTCTAAATCTCTTTGTATCTGGGGAGATTAGCCAGCAGTGCCTGGAAAGTCCAGAAAATAATGACTCTGAGATCTCACTAACCTCTTTCCCTCAGGGGTCAGAATGTTCTTCAGCCACTCATATGTCATGAAGTACATTCCGCTGGCTGGGACATCTGGTGGGTAAACAGCAAAAGGAAGCCTAGAGGCAGAGCAGCCCCACACCAGCTCAGCACCACCACTGAGCACATCCTGATTCCTTTCTGAACCTCCTCTACAGACCAAATCTTCTGTTGCTCTGGACAGAGGAGCCTGAACTTTCCAATGGAGAGCAGGTGCTAAAGACAAGAACCGGGCACCCTTTTGCAAGCACTTCTACAAGCAGCCTTTCAAGTTGGACTGTAACCTGCCTGCTGGCTGTTAAGCTAATGATGAGAAAGCTCTAAGCTTTCTTAATTACTGCACAGCAGACCAGAACAGTTAAGGAGCTTTGCACATTATTTGTTCTAATAATTCTATTTTGGGGCTTTTATTAAGGTACTCCCACTCTTAGCTCATGCCTGAACTGGAGAACCAGCCTGAGCTGCATTGCCAGAATTACACTGGTACCTGCTACACTTCCATGAGAAGCACTGGATAGAACAAATGCCTAAACTGGGATATCAAGGCACAGAAATTGGGAAATGTTGCCCCAGTACAGGGAACAATTTAACGCCTTTCAAAGAATAAAGTACTACCAAAACACATGAAGGATTCAATGTCTGACACAATTACTTCTGTTGTTGTTGTGAGAGGGGTCATGACATCCCAGTCCAAAATAACCCACACTCAAATGGGTAGAAAGCAGAACTGCTGATATCACCTCTTCAAAAGCAGCATGATACAGCAGCAGACAGTCACAGGCCTTCTCCAAGGAAGGAAAAAAAAAGGAATACACAAAGCTCACTTCTGTATTTGTCTTTGCTCTCTCTGCTCCTCTCCTGAAGTCTCTTATTTCTTTAGGCTTCCCAGTCTTAATTTCTATATCCCTCTGATCCTTGTCATCTAATCTCTTCTTCCCTCACTGAGAATCTCATGTTTATTTCTCAGTATCACAGTATCACAGTATGCTAGAGATTGGAAGGGACCTCGAAAGATCATCTAGTCCAATCCCCCTGCCGCAGCAGGAACACCTAGATAATGTTACACAGGAATGTGTCCAGGCGGGTTTTGAATGTCTCCAGGGAAGGAGACTCCACAACCTCCCTGGGCAGCCTGTTCCAGTGTTCCGTCACCCTCACTGAGAAGAAGTTTCTTCTCAAGTTTAAGTGGAACCTCTTGTGTTCCAGTTTGTACCCATTACCCCTTGTCCTATCATTGTTTGCCACTGAGTAGTCCCTTTGAGGCATTGGAGTAACCCTGCAGACTGCAAAAAAAGAAAGAAGGGTGACAGCACTTTCAACTGTCTAAAGGGACGGTGAGATCTATGATAACATGTCAAGCTTCCTCTCTTGAAGTACCTCACACAGAAGAAGCATCGTGATAACCCCACCTCTCGAGGGTGAGCACGGTCCCCTTGTACACACACAGCGAATCCCAGCCTCATGGTACAGCTGTTTTGCACAGTCCGAAGAGCCACTGTATTTAGTTTCACCTGTAGCTGCCTGGATCTGAAGGATTAAAGTGATAGTTTCTGACTAGTGAAGGTTTCTGGCTGGTGAACAATCTTTTAGCTAATAGTTAGAAAGCCATGTGCATGTTTCCAGACAGGAAGGAGCACATACTCATCCCACAGGCACTCCTGCATATGAAACCTCTCTGTCACTTCCTCAAACAGCTCTCTCACATTCAAGCTGAGGATCTGTTTACTGTTGCATGCAGAGACTAGATTCTCCCTTATTTTTTCCACAGTATAAGCCTGAAACAACTGAAGTCAGTTAGGTAATTCTACATTTGCACTGACAAAAAGTCACTTTTAATTTGTATGTGTAGAAAAGTTTCTAATGTATCATCATGGCATCATTTCATGTGTTTTGGAATGCATTCCTTAGTTCTGTATTGGGAACCTGTCAAGGTAACATTTCCATACTGAAAAAAACCCAGACTTTTCCAGACTTTGAAGTGAACCAAGGCATCTACCAATGCCAGTACTAGATAGTATTGTGTTTGTGCTCTGTAAAATGGCTAGAGCAATGAATGCTGTGTGTACTTATACTGTCACGGTGAGATTGTATAATGCTTCTTCGTGACACAGTTGCATTAAATGACATTTGTCTCCTGTCAAAAAACAGAACAAATACACTAACCAAAGAAGTTCCTGGTATGGAAAGACAAGACCCCTAAATTAAATTCTGATCAACACCATCCAATGCCTTACCTGTAAAAGGCACTTGATTCTCTCTCCTGGAGCCATGACTGCTGCTGTGAACACACCTGACAACATGCCAGGAGCAAACAGCTGAGGATATCTGCCCGAGAAAACAGAAAAGATGTTGACACACACAGTACGTAAGAAATGAAGGGCAGAAAGACACATCACCAGATTATGCTGTTCCACACAGTAGTAGTGGAACTAGAAATTAATCCACTGCTTTTGATCAGTGCAGAAGTGCCTCATCAATGCATAATTAGAGCTAAATATTTAACATCTCTAGGATTCAACATGCTGGTTCCCACAGCAACTATAACTCAGCTCTTCATATCTGCTGTATTTGTTAGTATTCCTTATACTTGCATATTTTTACTACAGCATTCCCCATTCATTTTTATTCCCAGCAGTCTCGTCCTCCTCCAGTCTCCCACACTTCTCAGTGACCTCAGCTGCCACGCTTATTCCTACTTGTGCAGCCAGGAGCCTCCTTTCTGTAACCTCTCAGTACCTCACTCCAGCCTCTGCCAGCATCGATGCTCTCATCTCAGTCATTCCACATCTGCTTTCACATGGCAAAGTCTCTGTGACAGAAGTTCCATACAGAAGCATCATAAACTTATCTTCAAGTCCAACCTCCTGCTACCTCCTCTAGTAAGATGACCTAACATCTCAATTTAACTAAATTCCACATCTCCTGCTTCTCTTCACTTGCCCAAGAGATGGCATTCTACTTAGGTTTTCTAATTCTTCCACCTTTCCTTACTCTTAAATTCCCATTAAATCTTCCTGACCATTCAGACCTCCTTCACCACTCCACATGCACCTCCTGCTCAAACTGAGCTTTTGTTTTCTAGCTGACCTTCGGATTAGTCAGGCCTAGAAAAGACGGAGCAAAACCTGAGGAGCCTGTTCTATCTCCTTCCTTCCAAATCTTCCCTGCATTGGGAACCACTGCCACCCTGCCTGTCTCTAGACCTATAACCGTGGTGCTAAGAGTCTGACCTTTATTTTTAAGCCTCATGTCCCAAGCACACTATCTTACTGTGTCAAGTCTGCACCCACAGCACAGCACAGTTGGGCACAACAGCAGTTCCACCATCTATTTGTTCTTTCTCTCCCACTGTTCTGCTTGAGAGGAGTTCCACATGAAGACTCAAAAATCTACACTGCCCTTCTCCAGCTTGCTTCTTAAAGCGTCCCTTTGGTATGATGCATATAAAACACAAGGAACTGAGGCAATTAGGCTGCTGGAAATAAGCCCATAGCCCATTTGTTTCCTTGTACTGCCCACTCCGTACTGTCCCCCGGTCTTACCCTTCAGCCTTCTCTGCATGAGGACACTAAAACAGGGGGTGACCAGTGCCCCAGCATCTCAGCACTGGCTCCCTCTGAGCTACCCGAGCAGAGGAAGCTCACTCTGTCTCAGCAGTGGATAGTGCTGCAGAGCCACATGCACTCACACCACCTGGGCAGTCCCCATGCAGGCAAGTCTCCAAGAGAAACCACACCTCCGCACCCCACCACATGTGGCTCAACACAGTGGACTCCTGATTCCTGACTGAGCTCCTGTGTATTGCACAAATAATAGAATATAATGTTGCTAAGCTACAGCTCTGTTCCTGTAGAGCTAGAAATCACAACTAGTTAACAGAGCACTTTATGGGTGGGGGGCTTTTGTCATGCCTAAGTCAGCATGTAGAAAACCACACAATGTTTTCTTAGCTTTCTACCTCTTTTCCAGAAGCTTAAACATGCCTGAGAGAAGGGCTACTCATAAACACCTCCCTTCAGAAACTAGTGATGAAACATTTCTGTGGCTATTACTATACCCTGATGTAAGGACACAGCAAGAGTCACAGCTAACAGGGGAAACAGAACCAGTACTGTGAACGCTGTCAAGACTGCTTGGCCATGAATTTATTTCTCTCACAGCTTCTGTTAGTACGAAGACTGTTGGCAGGCAATCATTATGTAGCTCATACTGTACCCATCTAAACCAGAATTGTTCCTTAATGGCTTTTTCTTATGTAGAAAGGGAATTGCACAGCACCTGCCCACATGCTGTCTGTTTTTAGCCTGTGCTATCAGACCCACGCTTCCAGAAGCATTTAAACACAAGTGTTTTAATTTTTAGAACTATATTTATAAACTAGGAAAGGAGACAAATTTACATCACACTCAACATGCAACAATGCAGCAGCCTGCAAGAGCTTTGGAGTGCCTTTCCCAAGTGTCTGATTAACTCAGCAACTCACGTCAAAATGTCGTCAGGTTTTCTTTGCTGGAGCCTTTTTCCCAAGCCAAATCCAAAGAAGCACACAGCAAACATGGGTGTCACTCCGATAATAGGAGCTGCCATTCCTCTGTATAAGCCTCAGACTCCCTGCAAGAAACAATATCACAAGAATTAATTGGTTTTGCATACTTTGCACACATCAACTTACTGAGAAGAGAACAGCTACAATACAGTGTCAGTCATACAACCAAATTAATCACAGGAATAACGGGGTCTGTTGTTCATTTGTAATGATACATGTTTAGCTGAGGCTCAGCGGTTGTTACAAGGGAAAGTTGTCCTTCCTGGGAAACACAGGCACCACTTATACCCTCCTGTTCCAGTACTGGTCATCCTGTACTTATATCTCAAGTATGAGGAAATTAAGTTAAAAGCCAACAGAGTAATAGTCCTAAGGATTTCATTGAAAGTCTTATTAATAAGTGTGCTTTATTAACAAGTCATCAAATGCAGTAGTGTAAAATCCTGACACTGAGCCTGAGAATGCTGGATTTACTCTCTAAATAAAGGAAGAGCCAAGGAGACCAACCTGAACAACTTCACTCCCCACACAAACTCGAATTTGAAACGAGTTCAAGGACAAATTGTTGGGTTGTTTTTTTCTGTCCCCAAGTCAAAACCTTTTCAGCATACAAATTTACACTCCTGATGTTTCCTTTCAGCAGGCTACACACATGGAAAACTTCTCATGCTGACCCCAGCAGCAGCAGTTATTTCATTTATCTTGCCTTTGAACTGAACTTTATCTAACAGAAAGGAGTTATCTTTCTAGATAAAGGCTAGATGCACAAATTAAATATTTGCTGGTCTGTCCACCCCTTTCTTTCCTCTCCCAAAATAAATTACTGTATCTCAGTACGTGTCTGTACTCTTATAGGCACAACTGACTGTAATTAAACTGGATGTGGCTGAGAAAGATCAGACACTCCTGCTCAACCTTCCTGTGAGCAGTTCCCTGTTTCCATTTCCCCCAGAGGGAAAAAAAGGCCTTGGCAGGGAGGTTTAATAGTTTTCCTCATAAAAATTGATGAGTATTGAGTAGGAGTTGAGAGACGGCATTCCTTCGAACTTCACATCAAAAGGCTATTATTATGGTTCGGCTCTAATGTCTGTGCTTCAGCAGGGGTGTTAAAAAACACAGGAGATTCAGGGCTAAAAAAGCATTTCAGTGCTTTGTAGGAGAGACTAGGGAAGCAAGATTTATTTTGGTTGCATAACAACCTGTTAATACCATCATGAAAGAAGATTTTGGATACGAGGCAGACCTTAGTTACCCAACAAGATCCAATGGTTAGAAATCAGACTTCAGACTAGTAAACCAACAGTTGGGCTTTACAGCCAGTTTCTAAGTGGTAAATAGCTGCTGGGAAAACTTGTGAAGCAGAAAAATAGATTCTGTGTCACTTACAAGACTTTAAACCAAGGCTGCCTGTCCTTCTAAAACCAAAATAGACTAGGGTTCAATCACGTGATAGGGCTGATTCAGGAGTGAAAGCCACTGTCCACCTTCTGAAAACTGAACAAAACTGCTACAAAACATAACAGTCCCTCTGTTATCCAAAAACCAAATAGAAAGAGAAATAAAACTGCCTATTAATGCTCCTCTGCCTTCTTGCAGGTGGTATAACACATTATAGAAAAAAGCAAAAATACTACTTGTATCAACAAAGTTGATATTCTGCCTATATCAGCATTTCCAGAGACAACTCCAAATACCAAAGACAGCAAGATTCCACTGACTGCAACAACAAAGCTGGCAAACAGCTGCCAACATTCACTCCAGCCTATAACTTCAGGCATTAATATCATGCTATTTTGAACCAAAAGCGTTTAACAAAATAGAGACATACACATGGAGGTCATGTGGATGCCAAGTATTCCACAAATTTTTTAACCCATCTATAAACTTGGATTAGAACCACTCCAGCTGGTAACCCCAGAATGGTGTAGTCTCCAGGAGGGCAACATTCCCACACGATTCCATGCCTGCCACACACAGAAACAACTGATGTTTTTGGCAGGCGCTGCAGATGACATGCTAACACTGTACCTCTCCAACCAGAGTCTTTCTGAAGCAGTCAAAGGTCCCAGAATAGAGCAAAGGCTGACCAGGCTGCAGCTTCAGCTGGGTTTGCAGTCTGACCTAGTGAGATGAGATATGAAACCAATATTTTATTAAATATTACTATCTAAATTTTAATTCTGAGAATACCTCTATATGAAATATATCCCTGGAAGTGCTCAAGGCCAGGTTGGATGGGGCTTGGAGCAACCTGATCTAGTGGAAGGTGTCCCTGCCTAAGGCAGGGGGCTGGAACTGGATGAGCTTCAAGATCCCTTCCAGCCAAAACCATTCTATGATATGATGATATGAGATGATGGTTACAAAATAAGCTTTGTGACTGGACTTTATGATGTTGTTAGAGATTGACACCACTTTCACCCTTTGCAGAAGAAATTGAATTTTAATGCATTTAATTATTAACATATTCAGTGAATTAATCGCTGGGATGACATCAGGATAACACCCCCACCTCAATACCTGAGAGCTAATGTCGTGTCACTGCTCCACTTCCTCACACATTTGGTGTGTGTGTGTGTGTGCACCCTCCTTCTGCACCCCATTTGTCTCCATGTGTCTGCCCTGCGTCTCCTGACCCAGAGGGCCGGGTCCCCGCCGCAGCCCGGTGCTGACGGGATCAGCTTAACCTCCCGACTCCTTCCAACGCCAAGAACACCGACGCCCTTGTTTTAACGTTTACCACAAACCAGCTGCAAACGGGACCCGGCGGCCTCCGCACCGACAGAGGGCGCCCCGGCGCATTACCGGCCCCACGAGGTACACAGGCACCTTAAAGCCGTCCAGCCTCCCTCCGCGCGGTGCACGTCTTAGACGATGCCCTGGGGTGACCGCACGCCGCCAGCTCCATCCCCTCCATCACCTCACCTCCCTTCCGGGCCTGCCTTGTGCTCTGGGCTGGGGCCCCGCCCGGCGGAAGTGACGCCCCGCGGAGGCCGGTGCTTCCGGCGCGCAGGTAGCGGTGGCCCGGCAGGAGGAGCCCGCCGCCGCCCCCTGCCCGCCACGCCGCCGCCCCCTGCCCGCCACGCCGCCGCCCCCTGCCCGCCACGCCGCCGCCCCCTGCCCGCCACGCCGCCGCACGGCCGCGCTCCGTGGCGCCCGGTAAGTGCGGGGAGCTCTGATGGGGGTCGTCTGTGTCACGGTGCTGGGAAGCGGTGAGTGCCCGGGGAGTGCGGCCGCCGCATTCCGTGTCCGTGTCCGTGTCCGTGTCCGTGTCCGTGTCTCTCCGCGGGGTCCGGCCGGCGCGGCAGGTCCCGGGGCAGGGTGGGGGAGCCCGGCGGGAGGGACTTGGTGCCGCTTCCCTGGGACTTGTGCTCGGTTTAGTGCTGGGGTTGGACTGCCGCGGGGAGAAGCCGGGCACGGGCACGGGCTTTGCTGGGGCTCCCTGCTCCTGGCCCTTCCTCCGCAGCTCTCGGTTCTCTCGGGCTTCCCTTCTCCTGTTCTGGCTGTGCGGGACAAGTAGGGTTTAGTCTTGCACGCTTTAGAAAAGAGGTGGCCTGTGAGGTAATTTAAGTGGTGTGGGCACCTTTCTGCCTGAGCTCAGAGCTACTACAGAAGGAAGGCTTGCATAGGTATACGTGAAATAACTTGATAGATTGGAAAGGATGGGAATGAAATGGGTTGAATGAGTTGAGAAGGACAAGGCAGGCATGCTAGTATGAACAAAGACTGAGCAGTGGGAGGAGAGTGTGCCCATTACTTAGGGCTGTACGTGGAGAGCTCTGCAGAGTCATCTGTGGTGGAGACCAGGGGGTGTCGTTCTAGTTTCTCACTCTTGGGATGAAAAAATCCTATCCAAAATCTCAGTGGAGAAACTGTGAGGTGTATGTGCTGTGTGTGTGGTAGAGAATTTGGGTATAATCCATGGATTACACATTTGGGTGACCTAAGGGAAGGTGTGATTAACGTTGATAGCCAGTGTGGAGCTGGGTTGTAAATGGTTTCAGAGAATAGTGTTGGCCTGTTTACAGTTTAGATGGATAAGTGGTTCAGGAGACAGACTTGAGTTACACTGTCTCTGGTTTGGAATTATCAATCAAGAGGCGAAAGGAGAAAAAGCCATCTCACGTGTCTGAGAAATACTACAAGAAGAGCAGAGGTGCATCCTTCGAAAGACTTACGATAGAAATCACACAGGTAGAGACACAGGGCAAGAAATCAGAAGAGAATGATGCAGTGGGACAAGATACGAGGGAGTGAGGTCAGAGAGAGACTGATGGTGTCGCATTTGAAACTGTTTTGTTTCAGAAGACCTTGTGGAGAAGATTTTTTGCAAAGCAGGAGTCGGCAAGAGGGCATCTCCATTGGAGCTAGCAGGCAGCAGAGCATAGGGGTGAGTGTGTTTGGGAGTTCCTGCAAGGAGACTGGAGAGAGCAAGGGGATTAAATCGTACCTGTGTTAGAGAAAATGAAGGAGTATCATGGATGAAGGTGGTAAAGAAGGACCTCATCCTCCCTTGGGTAGGAAAGCAATCTAAGTACAGTTTAAAATTTTCTAATCTGATTTGGGGGATTACGGTAATTATTTAATCTAAAACCTCTTTGCTTTTTAGACCCTCTTTTGAGCTTAACATCTTTATTATCTTAAAAGCTAGTGCTGTCAAGTATCCCTGTGTCTTGCCTTATCTTCAGAGATCTTGTGAATGAGGGCATTGGTCTGAGTGTTAGGTGAGTTCTCTTCCTCATTTTCCTAGTACCCTGCTATGCTTTTTCCACTGAGATAGTGCCTTAGCTTTCCTTTCTCCGCATGTCTGAGTGACATTCCATTATGCTGGAAGTGGGCTCTTTCCTAGAGTGTTGTGACAGGAGTCATGAAAGTCATCCTGTCTGCAGACTGTTTTCTGCCTGATGTGTCCCATTTGCCCGTGCAGACGGTTCCCCTGTTCAAGTGTGTTAGTGTCACAGAGAAACATTTCTGTGCTCTTCTGAGCCTCCTCCCCAGTGACTGGTACGTAACTGCTGAAGTACCAGGTGGGCCTGTTATTCTCCTTACGTACCTAAAAACACCTCCTTGCTTGGATGGGACTCACCAGGTGTTGAGAGAGCAAATGAACCCAGTGTTTGGGTTTTTTTTTTCCACCTCTAGGGTGTGGGATGATCTGAGTGAGTTTGGGAAGTTTCCTGACTGGTGGAACTTGCCTGGGCTTTGTGATGCTCTGAGGTTGGCTGAACAAAGCTGTGGCACATTGGGCTATTGATGGTTCTGTAGGAGTGTTCACAGTTATTCCTTTAACATAAGGTTTAGCAGGTAAAGATCTATTGGTCTGTATGCAGGAAGTCAGTGCTGATACACATTAAGCCCAGAACTAAATCATTAAGCAGGGTAGAGGGAGGGATGATTTTGGTTTGCCTTGTGTCTGTCAAATCAGATTTCATGCCTGTCTCTTTCCAGTATGGTGAGATGGTGCTTCTGCTCCTCTGAAGTTCAGTGGGAAGCAGTGCTTTAAAATACTTGTGTGCTACTTATTTTGTGGATGGCTGAGGAACCAAGAGGCAAACGGAGGGAATGGGTACCAGAATTCAAGGGATAATACAATTAGCTGCTAGCCTTCATATTCTCTCAGTGGAGGTTTGTATCTGCTGCCCCTCAAATTAATTGTACATCACATCTCTTCCTGGTTATTCTGTGCTGCTTGGCCAGGTTGTCTGGAAACAGAAAGCAAACAAGTTGAGGAAAAGTAATGAAATTTGTGGTTGTGATTTCCTGTGCTCTGAAGTCAGGATTCTCAGAGCTTGATCATGGTTTCCCCAGCAGCTACAAATTGTAATACAGTGGGAATATATTTCAGTAACAAAGCTAACAACATAGTAATGCAAAATGCAAACGTATAAGAAATACAGTACATCCTGCTTGTGGAAAACAGCTATATTTTTATGTATATAATTTTATATGTGAAATTCAATTGCAGCATTGTTTTAAGTGTTGTATTTAATATGTTCTTTCTTAAACCTGAACGATTTGGTTTAAAATGAAAATTTGTGACTACATATGAGGTGGCACAATTCAAAGTTGATGTGTGCTCTGCTGCTGAACCTCTAAGAACTTACATTCCTATGGTTTAGTTACACAGCACAAGGTTTGTAGTTCAGTTGGCTGTTCTGAATCTTCTTGAATAGCAGCAGTCCGCAGGAGCATAAATTTTTACACTCAGAGGGTAAAAAGTATCTATTGGAAGGTAATAAAATGAGAGAATTAATTTTATTTCCCCCTCAAATGTAAAGCCCAAATCACATCACATCCAGTAAAACCTACTTAAAGGGATTGATTAATTTCACCATTTCTTTTGAGACAGTTTTGAGCAGTGTTAAATTGGGTGAATGTGAGAGATCTGCTTGCTTGTCTTAATTTCCAAAGTCCCACTCAGTGCTTGTGGTTCTGAAGCAACGTGGACTTGTACAGGGTGTCACAGGTGGCCTTTCTGGCTCCTGTGGTCATAGTTAAGGGGTTAGTGTTTTTCCTGTTGAGGAGATGGATGTGATGCTTTTCTGCAGCATTTCAGGCTGTTGGTAAAAACTTAATACCATAAACTTAGTTGTGTATCTCTGAAAAGATCTGTAGTGAAGGTTATGCAGCCGCTTTTCAAATGTCAAAAGTCTCAGGGCCCACTTTGGGAATGGAATAAACCAGTCTGAGGTTTTAGACCTTGCCTGTAAGAGCAGCCTTGGCTTTGCAGGTACAGGAGTCGCAGGGGATCCAAACCAGGGACCCGCACAGCAGAATCATCTGTAGCTGGGCCATTGGATCAATCTGTTCCTGGCTGTTTGATCACCTGTATGATACTGATGTGGCCTCTCTTACAATTCCTTAGGCAACAGAAAAAAAAATGTTTTTTCCCCCTTAGGAGACACAACTCAGATGAAATCAAAAGAAGGATAAAGTTTGGAGGAGAAAAAGAAGCTGCAATTGCTTTCCTGGTCTGCAGTTTGACAGGGCGTTAAGATGTCCGTGGACATGAACAGCCAGGGCTCTGACAGCAATGAAGAGGATTATGACCCGAATTGCGAGGAGGAGGAAGAGGATGAGGATCCTGGGGATATTGAGGATTATTATGATGGGGTAGCTAATGACGTGGAGCAGCAGGGAGCAGATGCCTTTGATCCAGAGGAGTATCAGTTCACCTGCCTGACTTACAAGGAGTCGGAGAGCACTCTGAATGAACATATGGCCAGCTTGGCTGCCACGTTAAAGGTGAGGAAAGGTTTTTGACCCTGAAATAAGTCTGTGATTGAAAAGGCAAATGTGGAGTATAGACTTTGAAATAAAAACTGTGACGATGTTGCTGTTATGGGGGGTTGGAAGAACATTATTAAAGGTCCCTGGTTCAAAACTGACTCCAAGGTTTACAATTGTTGCATTCTGGTTCTGGGGCCTGAAAAGTCTTCCTTACTGAATGGTGATTCTTACAGGTTGTGGTTTTTTTTTTTTTTTTTTACAGAGCTGAGCTTCATAACCAAAATTCCTGAGTTACAACTCTTTGCATGAACACAGTGCAAAGAGGGTATATAGAAAAGATATGAACCGAATCATAAATGGTGCAGACTGGTACAGCTGTGTGTGAGG